ATTTCACTTACTGAGTTCTTTATCTCTGGTTGTTTCTTCTTTGTTTTCTGTCTCTTTATTCAGGGTCTCACGGAGGTCCTCCAATCTTTTTTCCAGTCCAGTAGGCATCCTTATGGCTATTACTTTAATTTTCTATCAAGTATATTATTTATTTCCATTTTGTCTCTTATTCTCTTGGTATGATTTGTCCTGTTCTTTCATTTGGTGCATATTCCTCTGTCTGCTCATTTTATCGAACTGTGTTTCCGTGTGTTAGGGAAATCAGCTACATGTCCTGCTATTGCAGGCCTGATCAAGAAGAGGTCCTGTAATGCCCTGCATTTCAGTGTCCCCTATTCACCAGAAGCTGGCTGTTGGAGGTATCTCATACATGTGTTGTATGTGCTGTTGTGTCCGAGTCACTTTTGCCTTCAGTTCAGTTGTCTGCAGTCGTTCTCCCTGTTGGCTGGATTTGTCCCTGTGTTGTTAGTAGGCCAGTCTGGTGCCACCATGGGCTTCAGTTGAGTCAGACCAGTTGCTTGCCAGTAGCAAGGAACTCCATGTTCCTTTCTCTGTGGAGTTCCCTGAGAAGCTTTCATGGGTGAGTGAGGCCTGCAGGCAGACCTGATGTCTGCCCCCAGTCCACTGCTGGGTCCATATTTGGAATGGTGATGTTTCCCTCTCCTGGGGCAGGAGTGACTTTGGAGTCCTGGTGATTCCTGTTAGGGCTGCTTGCACATTGCCAGGCCAATGGCAGGTTGGAGGGGCAAGTCCACAGAAAAATACAGGGGCAGGCAAACTTTTAGCATGCTAATTGGAGAATGTTGATGCTGCGCTAGCTCCTATGTATGTCCATGTGTCTAGTCTGGGCACTGGGAGGGAAGTTGAACCTGCCAGCTCTTTTGTTCTTAGAGAAGTCTCCTAAGGATCTCTGCTCCTCAGGCACTTGTTCAGAGTTTAGTTATAAATGTCTTGTCCTTGTGCTCCAGGTGTATTTTGGAGAAAGGGTGAATTCAGGCCCCTCCTACTCTGTCATCTTCCCCCTACTACCTGTTATCTTTTTTTTAATGTTTATTTATTTATTGGGGGGGGGGTGCAGAGAGAGAGAGAGAGACACATAGAATCTGAAGCTGGCTCCAGGCTCTGAGATCGCAGGACAGAGCCTGACATGGGGCTTGAACCCACAAACTGTGAGATAATGATCTGAGCTGAAGTCAGAGGCTTAACCCCCGGGGGCCCCCTACCACCTGTTTTAAAGAGCCTTGGTAAAGTGTGTCCCTGATTGTGAATTTGTTGTATTTGAACATGATTATTACATATTTTGATGCTATTTCATCATGCTTATAGGTTTGTGACTTTCTGTCTTTATGGTAATTAGTTCCTGTTTACTTTATTGAATTTTACCAACTTGATTTTAACTGATATAAATATGCTTATACCTTTTTGAGAATTTGTGTAATCTTTTTTTATTTTATTTTTATTATTTTGATGAAGACAGAGGGCACAAGTGAGTAAGGGGCAGAGAGAGAGAGAGAGAGAGAGAGAAGCAGAAGTGGGTCACAAGCTCACCCAAAGTAGGACTTGAATTCAGAAACTGTGAGGTCATGACTTGAGCCAAAGTCAGATGCTTAACTGACTGAGCCACCCAGGCGCCCTGTGTAATCTTTTTAAAAGAAACTTATCATGGAGGTGCCTGGGTGGCTCAGTTCGTTAAGTGTCTGACTCTTGATTTCAGCTCAGGTCATGGTCTCGCTGTTCCTGAGACAAAGCCCAGCATCAGGTTTTGTGCTGGGTATGGAGCCTGCTTGGGATTTTCTCCACTCCCCATCTCGTGCTTGCTCTCATGCTCCTTGTCTCTCAAAATAAACAAACATCTTAAAAAATAACAAATGAAAAAAAAAGCTTGCCCAGCAATACATAGAAAATTGCATGAAGTAATACAATTTGACAGATTACTATATAAAATATTTCTGTAGCCATCACCAAGGTCAGTTATACAGCATTGTCAGCACTTTAGATGCTCCTCTTTTGTGACTTGCGCAGCATATAAATAAATATGGAAGTCTTTTTAATAAGCACATGTAGGGGCGCCTGGGTGGCTTAGTCGGTTAAGCGTCCGACTTTCGCTTAGGTCATGATCTCGCGGTTCGTGGGTTTAGGCCCCGCGTCGGGCTCTGTGCTAACTGCCAGCTCAGAGCCTGGAGCCTGTTTCAGTCTGTGACTCCGTCTTTCTCTGACTCTCCCCTGCTCACACTGTCTCTCTCTCTCTCTCTCTGTCCTAGAAATAAATAAATAAAACATTAAAAAAAAAAAATAAGCATATGTAATCTCATATTTAATAGGAAACAGAGTATGGGTTTTAATCTTTAGTTTCTTTCAGATATTCTTTTAAAACTTCTGTTCATCTTTCAAATTTGAAGAGTTCATATCCTTAACATTCTACCCCAGCAAGTAAATTCATTGATACCACTGTCCCACAAATTTTTATACTTATAACCTTTCAGGTTTTGTTGAAAAATCTAAATTTTACTTACTATATTATTATACAGGGTCCTATAAAATTTGGAAAATAAAATAGTTTACAGAATTTGAGGATATTTTGTTGCTTAGCTTAGTTTCCTGTATCCCATTGTTTTCCTTAATTTTTATTCACTGTATCTTATTCTTTAAGAAAAAAGAACAGATTTCAGCATATATATATATATATATATATATATATATATATATATGATTGCTACCTCTTTGTTCAGCACATAATCAATTGATTAGTTATGATTTTTAGGTTCCAGAAAATTTAGATCACAGAATTTTGACTAAACTTATTTATTTATTATAGGTTATGTTGTTGCAAATGAATAGTTTGATACCTTTTTTTTTTTCTTAATAACTGTTCTCTAAAGTTGTAGGATTTTTCTCTAGGTTTTGGAATTTACACATTTCACCAGGTTGTCTTTTGGGGAATCTTTTTATTAACTTTTAAATATTTATTTTTAAGAGAGAGGGTGCAAATGGGGAAAGGACAGAGGGAGACGGAGACAGGATTGGACAGAGGGAGACAGAGACAGGATTGGAAGCACACCTGTGCTGACAGCTGAGAGCCCAGTGTGGGGCTTGAACTCATAAACTGTGAGATCATGATCTGAGCTGACATCAGATGCTTAATTGACTGAGCCACCCAGGCACTGCTTGGGACATCTTTTTTTTTTTGGCACATATTTTTAAACTATTCTTTTCAGTACTTGATGTAGACCCTTTCAATCTAAAGAGCTGTGCCTTCCCCTAGAAAATTTGCCTTGCTTTAGTGGTGCTCTTTGTCCATCCTGTTTTTGAGTATTGTTTTAGATGGTTTTTAGACCCTTTGAATTTATCTTCTCTGTCCTTTTCTTTTTCTACACCTGTTTGTGTTTTGTTTGGTACTGCTTTCTAGGATTTTGGTTATTTTTGACTTAATTTGAGGTTTAAATGCTGAAGTGTTTTATAATGGTTTTATTTTTACAATAGTGGTATTTTAGTTATTGTAGCTTTCTCTGGGTTTGTTTTTTTTTTTTAAGTTTATTTTGAAGAGAGTGAGACTGGGGGAGGGGCAGAGAGAATCCCCAGCAGGCTTTGCACTGTCAGCAGAGAGCCAGATATGGGGCTCGATCCCACAATCCTGGGATCATGACCAGAGCCAAAATGAAGAGTTGGATGCTCAGTCAACTGTGCCACCCAGGCGTCCCTATAATTACGGTTTTTAAGTCAGTAATATTTTTTTTCTTTTCTTTTTTTTTTTTTTTTTTTTACAAATAGTTTATTGTCAAATTAGTTTCCACATAATAAGTCAGTAATATTTTCACTTCTCTCTGAGCATATTAATTTTCTTCTGTTACTAGATTTTTCCTCATGGGTTAGTACTGTTGGTATTTAGCACATATTTCTCATGGAACTGGTTCTCCTTGTGAATGTACATGTTCATTGACCATGGTTAATACTGAGCAATACTGGTATCTGGAATGTATTTCCTAACTGAACAGAGAGCCCCTCTTTTTCCAGCCTTGATGGCAAATTGAAGTTAGAGGCATCTTTTACTCAGTCTTTGGAGCAAGAAGGAAGCACCTGGAGATTTAACAGCTTTTCTACGTGAAAATATGGATTGTCATCTGGACTGACTGTCTGTGTAATTTTTGTTGATTCATTGGGGGCACTCCTGCTTTCCTCCCTCTGGCTCTTAATACATATTGGGGGAGATTGTCTTTGGGGGCAGACATGTGAATTATCCCAGTGAAGTGGAAAAGTGGATAGTAATGGAGAATAAGAGAAGAAAGTGCATTTGTGTTCTAGATCATTAATTTCAGTAGTGTTTTAACCTTTCTCTTAGAGCTCCGTGTCTTCTGTTACTTAGTTTTGCTAGGAGTGGTGCCTTGGTGACTTAGTTAATTGAGCATCTGACTTTGGCTCAGGTCATCATCTCACAGTTCATGAGTTTGAGCCCAGTGTTGAGTTCTGTGCTGACAGCTCAGAGCCTGGAGCCTGCTCAGCATCCTGTGTCTGCCCCTCCCCTGCTTGTGTGCACTCTCTCTCAAAAATAAACACTAAGAAAAAACAAACAAACAAAAACCAAAAAAATACCTTGCTCTTTTGGGGCACCTAGTGGACTCAGTTGGAAGAGTATTTTATTCTTGATCTTGGGGTCGTGGGTTTGAGCTCCATGCTGGGTGTAGAGATTACTAAAGAAAATAAATAAGTGAACTTTAAAAATTAAAAAAGAGAACCTTGTTCATCAGTATCAATTTATTGGTGTATATGCTGAGTCTAATGGGCATCTTAAAACTGATTTATTTTCCCTAATTGTTAAGAAACAAAAGTTACAGTACTTGGCACAGAGCGGTTTATCAGGAAGTATTCCTAATTGCGTATTTTATGTACCTTATAGGTTATATGTGGGAGTGAATGTCCTAAATGTTTTGTTGATGCTTAGTATATTTGGAGTCTATGCCAGTAGTTGGAAGTTTCTAATATAATATTTAATTTTTCTTCCCCAGAATTTGTTGCTCTTAGAAAGGATCATTCATATTATTACTGTAATGATTGATTGCGTTGACTTCTCACCATATAATATTAAATATCAGCCAAAAGTTAAATGTAAGTGCTTTTTTTGTTTGTTCACCCAGTATTTGATAGACACGATTGTTTAACCTGTTGTTAAAACAAATCCAAATGTTTTTTCTGACCTCATTGTACCTACTTTTGGTGTTGTATAACCATGTCCTACAACTTTGTTATATAACAGTGGTATGATAGGAGCTTACATGCTCTTGCCAACACTCGCAGTGTCACACATGCACGTGCACACATGTGCGCACACATACACACCCCTTTTCCTTTGTATAGCACAGAAAGATCAATATAATCCTATCTAGAGATTGTGTAGTAGGAGTGATTTTACTTGCCATCTTATACAAGGGATTATCTGAGCAGGAAAATTTGATGTTAAAATGTTCTTATAAATCCCGTTACTGGTAATGTTAACATTTACTAGTTGGTTAAGACAATATCTGCCAAGTTTTCCACTGTAAATTAGAGTACCTATGATTAATAAGTTAATGTTTTGTGGCAGATTATTTGAGACTATATAAATAACTTTTTGTCAGCCATCTTTGACTCATGATTTTATCATCTATTAATGCTTTTTGTCTCAAACACTAAAGTTACCAGAAGAAGAAGAGTTCATTGTTTCATTTGATTAACCTAAATTTAACAAATTGTGTCAAGATGCTTAGCTCCTTTAATTAATTCTAAAAGCCATCCCTATTATTTATCTCCTATTCATAATAAATAATTTTGCAGTTATTGAACATGATTAGGCACCAGTCACTTCCAGGTGCATATGACATCCTAATGTAAGAGAACTTTCTTTGTCTCATTTATTTTTACCACTGAGTTTCTGTTACTCAGTGGTTTATAATTCATTGTCATTAATATTTATGCTCATGTTGACCTCTTTGACCGTTACATGGGTTTCCTTTTTTTTTTTTTTAAGAACTTTGGCATAAGTTAATCAGGCTCATTCTGTACTTTTTCCTCCTTGAGCCTGGAACCAGACATATTTCCAAGAAACATAGTTTCTTTTGCCGAACATGGCATTTAGAGACCAAGATCTAGTCATTATCACTAAGAATTCACTGCTTTTGGATCCTCTTGAGTAGACAGAGGTGTGGGATAGGTGTCACCTGATTGATGGGCTATCTTCTCAGCCTTAACATCGTGGCCTGAAATTTCTGGGAGGCCATTCTAATTTATATTCATCTGGAAAACAGATTCTAGAGAAGAAGGAGAGTTTTCTCTTAAATCTGAGCTATTTTACTTTTAGAGATTATATTCTTTGAAGGAAACAGATAATTTTGGACTGTGTTTTTTTGGTTTTTTTGTGTGTTTTTGTTTTTGACAAAAGTGGATTCATCCCCATAGTTAGGTATCTGAAGAGAGACAATCTAATAATGGTAAACAGGAAAGTCAGACAGTGATTTTAAGATATATCTTTTTCTTTAAATCTAAGCTTTTTTCCCTGTCTTCTTGCTGAGGATTTGGATGTATGATTTGTTTAATGTTGTTTGTAGGGTTCAGTGTATTATAAATAAGCCAGGAAGCAATAATTTCTAAGGGAATTTTTGTTTTAAAAGCTGAATTTTAAAATTTAATTTAGGAACTTACATAGTTTAGTATTTTCCTACAAATCAGTTGTTGAAATTCAGAGACTATAAAAGCTTGAAATGCATTTTGTAATGTCTTAGAGAAAAGACACCCACTTTTCTGAATTCTTCTAGATCTGCCAAATAGTTTTCTTTTGTTTCTGCTTCTGTTTTAAAGATACTATCGTAGTGGTGGTTATCCACTAATGGTATATCATTTTAAGATTTGTGAGTATCATTCTACAGAAACGTGTATGACAGTATCTGTCCTTTAAATGAGATAAATTATTAAAATGTACAACGACACTTTTCGAAGTACTTTGACATTTTAATGAATTAAATTTTATCTTAGCACCGCAGAGACCTTCAGATTGGTCCAAAAAGAAGAAAGAACCTTTAGGGAAATTGGCGTCTTTATTTAAACTTATCGTGAGAGTGATCTACTCTTTCCACACTCTGAGCTTCAAGGAAGTACATTCTGATACTCTTCTGACTATTGGCAACTCAATCACTGGTATTCTTTCTAATGTACTTGGACGTATTTCTTTGCCTTCTATGATCCGAAAAATATTTGCAACTTTATCAAGACCCCTGGCATTATTTTATGAAAACTCAAAGTAAGTATTTTTTTGACTTAATAGATTTGAATTAAATGTCTTAGATCTAGGTAGCAAACTTTGGTCATTTTCCTAGCACCATGTGGTTACAAATGGTAGTCTTTACAATTTAGTGAAGAGGATAATATACTGTGCTTTTGTTCAAAAGATAGTTCAAATCATATATAAAACAAGGTAGAAATTATAAGTTCTAAATTTTTTTGTGGTAGTACACCCTTTTCAAAAAATTTTTTTTCATGTTTATTTGAGGGAGAGAGAGTGTGTGCGTGTGCAAGTGGGGGGCGGGGCAGAAAGAGGGGGAGACACAGAATCTGAAGCAGGGTCCAGGCTCTGTACTGTCAGCACAGAGTCTGATGTGGGACTTGAATTCATGAACCAGGAGATCATGACCTGAGCCAAAGTCAGATACTTAACTTACTGAGCCACCTAGGCACCCCTTTACCCCCCTTTTCAATTTAGTGCATATTTTTTCAGATTTATTAATACAAATATATCTGTTATTGTATATAACGTATATGAAGCGTATTTGACATGGTACTTTTCAATTAAGTGTGTGGTATGCACTTAAAATACTGTATGCATCTTGTACCGTACATCTAAGAATCTCATTCTCTGTAATGTCTCCATAGGGTTCCATGAAACTTTGTACCCAGTTTTCTATTAGTGGACATATGTGTTTTTCTAGCCTATTCATTCAATAATTTTATAGTTGAACATACTTGTGCACACATCTGTGTCCTCATTCTACTACTACTTGCGAACAAGGCCCTAGAAGTCAAATTGTTGGTCCAAATCGTATACACATTTAAATTTCTGAATTATCCTGCAAAAATTTATTTTAATTTACATTATCCTTTACATTGGAATTGAAGCAGACATTGCCTTAAAGCAAACCCTGAAATACCCCAAATAGCATACTTTTTAAAAAGGAATTTTCATTGAAAGAATTTTTTGATGTTTTTTCTAGCAAGGCTACATGGTTCAATCACAATTGTCCATCTTTTTAAAATTATATTTATAGAGAACGTTTTATGAACTGATTTTATAAAGTACAAAGTAGAACCCCAAACACATTAACTTTTTGTACATCTTTTAGTCTTTAAGCTTCATCAAAAATAATTTATGCTTTTTTAAAATGGTACAAAAACAAGTAAACTAGTATTAGTATTTTGAGGTCTATTCCAAATGCTTTTCTGTGGTTCATTTTTTAAAGATAGGTTTGTTTCATGCTTAAATTTTGATAATTTGATATTTTTAAAATTACGTTTTGGGGCACCTTTTTATGTCACTGCACATGTCTCATTTTTATGGCTGCATTACATATTTTTAGGCCTAATTTTCTAAAATATAAGTGGTACTCTTGTGTTTTTCTTCCCAGGCTTGATGAAGTTCCTAAAGTGTATGGTTGTATGAGCAACAAGGTAAAAATAGACAATTTTCTATAAAACATACTTTCATGAGGAAATGTTAGAGTTCATATAGTTGTCTTCCATACATAAGGTTCTGATTTTTAAAGGGTTATACTTTGTTTTAATGGACATTTATTAACATGACATGGACATATTCACAAGATAGGTTTTTTAAAGAAGAATTGAGTAATGTTGCATTAAATTCATAGACTTCATTAACTCTTATCCCTTTACATAGAGAATTTTTAGGTAAAACTTGTGTAGCCAGCTAATTATGTTTCTGTTAATGAAAAATAAGTTTGACATCAAATCTTATATCAGTAATTAATTTCATCTGACAGTCTGTCAGTTTATAATAAACATATATTTAAGGAAACTAATTAGTGCTTTAAAAACCATTTGAACTTTAAAAATTGAAGTAGTAACATGTTGTGAGTTATTCTTTGTGCTTTCATTTGTCCTGTTTTAAAAGCACATTTCCAAATGTTATCCTAACAAAATTTTTCTTTTGTCTAGTTAGAAAAGCTACTAGGAGAGATAATTGCTTGTCTGCACTTCAGCTACACTGGAACTTACGACAGCGAACTTCTTGAACAGATTTCTCCGTTATTATGCATAATATTTTTGCACAAGAATAAACAGATTCGAAAACAGAGCGCTCAGTTCTGGAATGCCACATTTGCTAAAGTGACAATGTTGACTTATCCTGAAGAGTTAAAGTATGCCAATAACAAACCTATATCATATAGTTACCTATTATATGTAAATTGATATTTTTGTTTTAAAATGAATTTTTCTTAGAGGAATCATTGCAGAGGATTCCTCAGTTGAGATTTTATTTTGAGTATATGGTAATTATTAAACAATTATTAGGTTTACCTTGATCCTTAGACTAACCTTGGTTATAGGAACATAAAAAGCAATTTAAAATTTTCCTTAATAAAAGGAAACAATGGGTGCAAGTGGCAAGAAATTGATGGTTATTAAATCTGGATGATGTGTATATTGGAATTTAATGTAAAAGTCTACTTTTGCTTAAAAATTTTATACGATAAAAATTTGGAAACTTTTTAAGTAAGGAAATTTGGTAACAAGAGTTTAGCAAAGAAACTAAATATGATTTACATTTCTCCCAGTTTTTTGTATATAGAGTAAGAAAGTCTTTAAACTGAATGTATTTTGTTACTTTAAAATTGTAATTAAAGTGTCTGTGTTAACATATCATTGGTATTCACCAGTATTACTTGACTCAAGTTATATATGTTTATGTACTTTTTTAAAGACCAATATTAAGACAAGCCAAACAGAAATTTCTGCTTCTCTTGCCTGGTTTGGAAAATGTTGACATTATGGAGGAATCCAGTGGCCCATACTCAGATGGAGTAAGTTAAAGTATTTTTTTTACTTTCCAGTGGTATTTGTGTAGTCAGTTTATTGGATTTTGGTATAATTTTTTAAAACACAAAAACTTAGAATATTTTATTGACTTAAGTAAAGCTTGGGCATAAGAGCATCATAATATAGGATTTTTCTATAACCTTAGTTTTCTGGCTTGAATACTTTTTTTTTTTAATCTAAATGTAATTGACGTACAGTATATGTTTCAGGTATATACATCATAGTGATTTGATATTTTTATGCATCATGAAACAATCTTCATGATAAGTCTGTCTGTCATACAAAGTTAAGACAGTATTATTAACTATGTTCCCTGTGCTGTATATCACATCCCCATGATTTTTTTATTTTCTATATGTTTATTTTGAGAAAGAGTGTGAGTGGGTGGGGACAAGGAGGAGTAGAGGGAGAGAGAGAATCCCAAGCAGGCTCTACAGTATCAGTGCAGAGCCTGAAGTGGGGCTTGATCTCATGAACTTTGAGATCCTGACCTGAGCTGAAATCAAGACGCTTAACCAACTGAGCCACCTAGATGCCCTGATTCATTAATTTTATAATGGGAAGTTTGTACCTCTTGATCCCCTTTGCCAGTTTTCTTTCCTCCCAACTGATCCCCTCTCTGGTAACCAGCAGTTTGTTTCCTGTCTTTGAGTTTTTCTGTGTTGTTTGTTCATGTTATATTTTAGATTTTATCTGTTGGTGAAATTGTATAGTATTTGTCTGAGATTTTACTTAACATAATACCCTCTAGGTCAGTCCATGTTATCACAAATGGCAAAATTTCATTCCTTTTTATAAGTGATATTTCATCGTGTGTGTATATCTTCTTTATTTTTCACTGATCACTTAGGTTATTTCCATATCTTGGTTATTGTGAATATGCTGCAGTGAACATGAGGGTGCACATCTCTTCGAATTGTTTTTTGTTTTTGTTTTTGTGTTTGTTTCTTTTATGAATACCCAGAAGCAAAATTGCTAGATTGTATGGTAGTTCTATTTTTAATGTTTTGCGGAACTTCTGTACTGTGTTTTATAGTGGCTGTGCTAATTACCTTCCACCAGAATGCAAGGGTTCCCCTTTGTCCACACCTATGCTAACACTTGTTAGTTTTTGTCTTTTCCATTAATAGTCACTCTTACTGGTGTGTTTCCTTGATAATTAGTGATGTTGAACATTTTCTCGCGTGCCTGTTGGCTATCTGTATATTTTTGGAAAAGTACCTATTCAAGTCCTCTACCCATTTTTTATTTGGAATTTTTAAAAATATTATGTACCAACCCCATATCAGAAGTATGATTTGAACGTAATCTCCCATAAGGTAGGTTGCCTTTTCCTTTTGTTGATGTGTTTCCTTCATTGTGCAAAAGCTTTTTCATTTGATGGAATTTCATTTATTTTAACTTTTATTGCCTGTTGACCTGAAATACTTTTATGATTTAAAAGCATTAAATTTCACCATAGATTCTCATGTAAATGGTCTGATTTTTGTTCATTAATGATCTTTTTTGAACAGTGATATTTCATATGTATTCCTTTGCAAATGTTGTAATTATTATAATACATGGCTAAGTGTTGCTTTAGGTAAACCACAAATAATACTTACTGGTCCATGTCTAAATAAGAGCTGCCCTTGGGGTGCCTGGGTGGCTCCGTTTGGTTAAGCATTTGACTTCATCTCAGGTCATGATGTCATGGTCATGAGTTTGAGGCCCAGGTTGGGCTCTATGCTGATGGCTCAGAGCCTGGAGCCTGCTTCGGATTCTGTTTCCCTCTCTCTCTGCCCATCCCCTGCTCGTGCTCTCTCTCTGACAAAAATAAACACTAAAAAAAATAATAATAATTAAAAGCAAAACAACAAGAGCTACCCTTAACTTTTCTTTCCATCAAATCCCTCATTCCTAGTATCAGAAAAACACTATTTGCTGTCACATACCCACTTGAAACAAAGTAACTTTGGCTGATAATAATTACTGTCTGAGGACAAGGAGTAAAGACATGGGTACTGCATATCCATGAAGTATGACATCCTTAGCTAACTTTGTTTCTATCCAACAACAAATGGAGTCTGGTGTTTGTTTAGAACCTGTAAGAGAGAAAAGTTAACAACTAATTAAGTACTCTAGCTTTAGTTGTTGGCCCATCATGCATATTTTATTGGTTGTATGATGTTTAAAGTTTCACGGCTGTGATTTTTTTTTCTTAGAAATATTTTCAGTAATTGGAAGTGTCTTTGAGTCCAGTAATTTGGTTCAGTTTCAGTATTTATACAATGTATCTCATTCTTAGAATTTGTAAAATTCTCAAAACATTCAGATTTTATAAAATTTATAAAAACAGTGCAAAACTGTGTAAGTTATAAATGTCAAATCTATTTGCTGTTGAATTAACACAATGGCTCTTTCTTTGACATGATTTGAATAAGTTGGAGTAATGAGAAAGAATTTTAATATTTGAAATTAGTACTTATTAAACTGGAATTTTCAAAAATTGCAAAGAAGTCGTAGAGCATTTGCACTTAAAAATAGTTTTAATTTTGGGGGCGCTTAGGTGGCTCAGTTGAGCATCCAACTTCAGCCCAAGTCATGATCTCATGGTTTGTGGGTTTTCGTTCCATGTCAGGCTCTGCTCAGAGCCTGGAGACTGCTTCAGATCCTGTGTCTCCTTCTCTCTGTCCCTACTTGCTCATGCATGCTCACTCTCTCAAAAATAAAAGCACTAAAATTTTTTTTAATTGTTTTATTTTGAATAAAACAGACAGAAAATTCACAGTTAAATATGAAGATAAGTGGCATGGAAAGAAAATCAAGTGGAAAGAGAGATTCTTTTTTGGCACAAACAAAGGATGCAAAAGAAAATATGAAACCACCAGGCAAAGTATGTTTTTCCAAAATTTATTTAATAGAACTTTTAAAGCATATGTTACTTTGAGAACATGTAACTTCTGATTGGAAGAGAAAGCTGTTAAAGGCTAAATAAGAGGATTAAAGAAGAATAATAGGAGTTTGGTTTAAAAGGACTCAGAATAGCATGGAAATCTAGAAGCTTTGGGAGATGATTCATTCTTACTAAAGTTTAATAAAGTCTTTAATATGTATTATCCATTAAGTATAGAATTCAGTCAGTGGCTTTCTTGAAGTGGAATCAACTATAGGTATGAACACCTAGGTAAGACATCTAAATCTAAAACTCATAATCTTACTAGTTGCCAGTCAACTGATCTTTAGACAATATTCATCTCTTCCATGACTTATACTAAGGGTACTCTAGAATCTTGAATCCATGGCCTTTGGCAAAATGAAAGAATGTTCTGCTTTAAAGAAAGACTCCAACACAGTGTCAGAGCAACTGTGATGTAGAGTGAAAACAGTTACATTGAAAAATTGTAAAAATAACAGTACCATTGTTATTGGTCTGTAGCGCATTATTTTTAAAGAGTTTTAATAATTTTTACTTCCTGAATTTTTTTTAGAGGTAGAATGAAAATGAGCAACATTGTACTAATTATTAACCAGGGGTATCATATTCAGTTTTGAATTTCAAACTTAGTCTAGTGAAAACGTTTTCTAGAGTGCTAGAAGAGACATTGGTTCATTTGCCTTTTTAAAACTTGCAGTTGAAATTAGAGTCGTCTTCTCCGAAAGCAAAGAGTGAAATGCCTTTGGAAGAAGAAAAGTCTATTGACTTTGTGTTTATACCGTCTGAAGGAAAAGAAACAAAGGAAAGAATACTAACAGAACATCAGAAAGAAGTACTCAAAACAAAGAGGTTTGTAGTCCTTTTATCTTGAATTGGGTATTCTGTATTCACATTTAGATTTTGTGAGGCAATGTTAACTTTGTGTTTAGAACTAAGATACTTGTATATATATTAATGCCAGAAAGATGTGCCATAACATGGCTATTTCATAATGTATATGGTAACTTAGTTATATATTAAATATTTCTGAATTCAGAGGTAAATCGTTAATGGGGGTAGTGTTTCATCCATTTCATCCATCATGAAAATGATTTCACCCAAAATAAGCATATAAGTCTTGATTTCAGTTCTTAAAAGATAAAAAGATACAGTTTTAAGTTTAATTTCTAATGGTAGGAATATCAAATGTTGACGTTACTTACGTAATATCTTTTTCAGGTGCGATATTCCTGCCATGTATAATAATCTGGATGTTTCACAAGATACTTTGTTTTCTCAGTATACTCATGAAGAGTCTGTGTAAGTATGGAAGATGTTGAAGTAACTAGTTTTTAAATTTTTAATTAAAAGTACTATTTTACAGGTGCCTAGGTGGCTCAGTCAGTTAAGTGTCTGACTTTCTGATTTTAGCTCAGGTCATGATCTCTCGGTTCATTGTTTTGAGCCCCACATCAGGCTGTAAGCTGACAGCAGAGATCCTGCTTGGGATTCTCTCTCCCCCCTACTCTCTCTCTTAAAAATGAATAAATAAACTTTTTTTTTTTTAAATATTTTTATTTATTTCTAGGAGAGAGAGAGAGACAGCGTGAGCAGGGGAGGGTCAGAGAGAGAGGGAGTGACAGACTCTGAAACAGGCTCCAGGCTCTGAGCTGGCAGTCAGCACAGAGCCCGACGCGGGGCTCGAACCCACGAACCGCGAGATCATGACCCAAGCGAAAGTCGGACGCTTAACCGACTAAGCCACCCAGGCGCCCCAATAAACTTTTGAAAAATAGAATTTTAATTTACACATTTTTATTTCAGGGAAGTTCCTACTTTAACTGAAAAATCAAAGGAAGATTCCACAGTGATATTTAAGGTATATTTGGTATTTCGTATTTTGAGGTTTTTAGAATCATCTTTTTATTATAAAGTCTTGTATTACTTTTAAGATGTATTGCATAATCTCTTAGTTCTTATTGGCAGACCTGAGAATTGTAGTCATTGTGTTTGTGGGTGCCTGTGTGATTAAAATAAAAGTTTTTGGCTTTATTAAATATTTATAATTGGAAATACAAATTAACGGCATCTACCACCACCTTTGGAATATTTGCAAAAATATTTAAAGTCAAGTGTTAATTTTTTGAATTACTTAAGTTTTATACTAAGATATCCCCAGAAAGTCAAACTTATTTACTGGTTAATCTGTATATGTGTGTACATTTCTGTGCAGGAGGAACAAATGGAGAGTGACATTGTCATTCCTCAAGATGTCACAGAAAACTGTGGTATGGATGAGCATCCTGAAAAGGCTTCCCTTTCAAATAATGAGTGTGGTTCTATTGAAGAAACCAGTCCAGACATATTGAGCAATAATAATGATGCCAGAAAGAAAGCTTTAATTTCATCAAAGAAGACACCAACTGAATGTGCACCTAGTGCAGAAAATACTTCTGGTATCAGCGGTAGCTCAGTTTCTAATGCCATCATTTCAGGAACTCTGCCACAGCCTACAAGTCGGAGGCAAACCTTTATTACTTTGGAGAAGTATGATGGTTCAGAAAATAGACCTTTTAGTTCATCCCCCTTAAATAATATGTCATCAACTGTTACAGTGAAAAATAACCAGGAAAGCATGAGTAAAGCAGATATTTCATCAAAAGCAAAGAAAAGAGAACTAGCTCTTGCAAAATCTGACTCTGAAAAAATAGTGCATGGAAGTAAGAGATCAAGTCGAAAGTCGAGTAAAACTGAACAAACAGGGAATAAAAGGTCTAAACTTTTAATGAGATCTGATCAGGAGAAAAATTCTCAGGAATCTGTTGATGGCATGGTAGCCTTAGAAAATAACCCACCTGGTTTGCTTCATCAAACAGAATGTACATTAGATAATAACCATGCTCATCTCTCTGATTCTACAATGGAGTATGAGGGTACAGTGCTTAAACCAACAGTAGAAAATGCAGTGTTATTAGAAAACAGTACTGCAGAAGACAAAACATTAGGAATTAATTTGGAATCCAAAGAAAATACACCTCCAGTTGTAACACCAGCAGATCAAATAGTAGATGAGGATAATACTGTTCAGATAACTCCTAGCCAAAAAACCCTTAGACGATCCTCAAGGCGACGTTCAGAAATAGCAGAGCCCGCTGCTGACAGCCAAGAGAAAGAAAATCATCAAAAAAAAGAAAGGCGTAAGGAAGAAGAAAAGCCTCTTCAGAAGAGTCCTTTGCAGGTAAAAGATGACTTGTTACTTAAGCAAAAACTGATTTCTGAGCATACTCTCCAGGAAAATGTAGAAAAAGGAACTAATTTACATGAGAAGACTTATGGGGAAACCAGCACTAATGCTGAAATTGATGAAAATAAAAGAAAGCTAGACCTTGAAAATATTAAATCTGAGGGCGATGGTGCTCAGGACGTTGCAGATAAGTCCTCTGAAAAACCAGTAAGTGGACGAACCCGGTATCAGACAAGAAGAGCATCCCAAGGTTTACTTTCCAGCATTGAAAACTCAGAATCTGATAGTTCTGAGGCAAAAGAAGAAGGTTCTAAAAAGAAGAGATCCGGAAAATGGAAAAACAAAAGCAGTGATAGTGTTGACATTGAAGATCAAGAAGAAAAAGTGATAAAACAGGAATGTATAAACATTGAAAACCAGACACTTGATTGTAAGGCAAATTCTGAGGTAGAAAGAGACATAAAATCTCATATTTGTGAACAAAAAGATGAGAGTAACATAACTCTTGAAGATTCTACCGTATCTTCAGATTTATTGCAAGTTTGTGATGATGTATCAAATACTTATGAGGGAAAAATCAAAACCAACAAGTGTGCAGAATATTCTTTTTCAAGCCCATCAGTGCCAGAATCAAATCTAAGGACTAGAAATGCCAGTAAGCGATTACAAAAACGAGATTCTATAGAAAATAACAGTGTGGGAGAATCCTCAAAAATAGGGACATCAGACATCTCTTTGCTTTCTGAAAAAGCTTTTCAAACAATTGAATGCCAGCATAAGAGAAGTAGGAGGGTAAGGCGATCTAAAAGTTGTGATTGTTGTGGAGAAAAATCACAAACTCAGGAAAAGTCATTCACTGGGTTAAAGAATACAGAAAATTACGACGTGAAGGTCAGTGAAACAAGAAAGACAGATGTGCAGACAGCTGTACCTGTATCAGAAGCTTCTAAAGCTAGTCTGTCCTCGGAGGTAAAACTTATAGATGAACATCAGGCTGTGAATTTTCATTTGGGTCTCAAGGAGGAGAATGATACTGTTAATGATTCATTAATTATATCTGAAACTGAATTGAATGAAGATACTGTTCAAAACCCTCTTCCTTCTGAGGTATTGAATTTTGAAGAAGAAACTTGTGATGCAGATTCTGCAGAAGCAGTATCTCTTGAAAGCCAAGAGCCGCCCAATAAAAAATGTAAAACTGTTGGCCCATGTTTAGGTGATTCCAGAGATAATTCACTAGAATATTCTACTTTGGAGATTAACAAAGAAAAGCCAGAGGCTGTCCTGGAAAAGGAACTAACAATAGAGAACATTGCCAGTGTTGAAACAAATGCATGTGAGGCTGAAGCAAAGTTTAATCCAGAAGTAGTAGAAGCTGTTGAATTGGATATAGAAAGTGATCAATCTGAAACAGGCTTTTCTCAACAAAAGGATGCCAAAACTGTTAATTTTGAAGAGGAGGTAATGGAGATAAACAGTGAAAGATGTGATGAACCTGAAGCAGAGGCCGCCGAACAACTAAATGCTGAAGAAATAGTAACTAAAGAATTTAATTCTGATATTGGTCTTTCTGACGATACCACATCTGTAAAAGAGAGTGCTCAGGCAGAGATACCTGAACAAACAGCAGTTGGGGAATTAGATGAAGGAGGGGATAAATCTAGTCCAGACTCATCTGAAGAAATAAGTGGTAAAATGGAAAATTACGAAGAGGCAGTGACTGGTGAGGTAAATGCTACAGCTGATCAAGTCAGTGAAACAGAGGACAGGGACTTGAATACCAAAATCTCTAAGCTTGCACAGGCCAATGCAAAGACATTGAATATGGAAATCGACAGCTTTGTTTTCAACACGCTTGAGATGAGCACTGAAGGAGGAAAGGTGGACTCTAATAAAACTGAAACAAATATTGAACTTAGTAAGTCTGAAGAAACACCTTTAGATGACAATCAAATGGTAGGAGGAAATGATGAAATTTTACAAGAAGTTCACCATACTTCAGAGAAAGTGGAGGGAACCTCACAGTCTCTGGCATCTGAAACAGCCATTTGTGAACTAATAACAGAAGACAATAATGCATCTCCTCAAAAATTAAGGGAACTTGATTCTTTACTTGTATCAGCAAATGGCAGTCCTAGTGGCATGCAGACACGCTGTGTCTGGTCTCCTTTGGCATCTCCATCCACCAGCATTTTAAAGAGAGGACTAAAAAGACCACAAGAAGATGAGATATCGTCACCTGTTCACAAGGTAGGGGAATTGAGGCTGAATATTAATTAGCCCATATTTACCTTGAGTATTTTGGTCATACACTGACACCTGGTGAACGACAGAATATTAGACCACTCATTTTGAATATTTACCAAGGTGACTATGGAAAAGGGCAAGCAGAAGGAGAAGTGTTGATAAAAGGGGACTTATGTCTTTACTTCAGGACACTGAAGATTTTTAGCCATGTACATTGTTCATCTTTTACAGAATTGAGAGGATTTCTCATGATGGTTTTGTTTTGTTTCGCACATAACATGTGAGGAAACATTTGTGTTAAACTGATAAAGCAGCTTTTAGTCAGCATTTACTATGTAGTAGAACATTATGTGGTCTGTTTCGCATTGAAGTGTTTATATGAACTCTGATTTCCAGACCTTATAATGACAAGGAAATCTCAGGCTGTGCCTTCATCAATTTCTGGATGTGATTGCATTTCTAATTTTATTGCCCCACCCTTTACTAAAATGACTCCTTTAGTTTGTTAACATGGATTATCCATGTATCTGATTTAGCTCCTGACCCAATAACTTACACATAGTTCATTGAATGAATAAATTAAAAAAGGAAAAGTTACACGTGCTTACGTAGCTCAGCTTGTCCTCTACTTAGCAAAGGAGATGTTCTGAAAAGGTATGATATGAGCATTCTTTAACTTTGAAATTGAATCTGCCATTAATTTACTGTAGAATACATGAGTTTATATGTACAAACATGCATTATAGACCTAAGATATACTTAATTTTGCCTTTAGCAAGGACATTTAGCAAGAAGTAAAGACTTCTCAAATGCACCGAAAATTCTTACACTGAGAATTCCATTTTTTAAAGGTTTTGTTTGGCTCTGCTTTTATTTTGAGGCTGTGTGTGTGTGTGTATCTTAAGTTTAAGTAGTCCATAGAAGTCTTTGAAAAGTATGAAGATAGAATGCATTGAGATTAGTGATTTTCTTCAGTATAATTTATTTTTCTTCAGTATATATATTTTAGCTTGGTAATAAAAGTTAACTAGTCATGTTTTGCTTAATAGTACCTCATATATAATTTTTATGTAGGCAACAGTAAGTCATTATAGTTTCCTCTAGCAGATACATACAGAATTTGCCCATTCTTGGGAATCAAGACCAGGAAAAAAATATTATATATATGGTTAATGGTATAAGTGCTCTATTGTATATTTATATTAAATAGCTGAATGAATGAACACATCATAAAAGTTTAGTTGAAGCTAAAATGACTTCATGCTGGGACTAAGACAAAAATTGCCACTCAGTTGCTGTGATTCTGGTATCCTCAGAGTTTAGAACAGAGGTTAGTAAGATACACCAGAGCCCAGTTAGTATTATTTCTGCCTCTTTACCTTATTTTTTCTTAAGTTACTATAGTAAGCCTACAGGGTGAGTAGAATTTGATGATACAATTCCAACTGCTGCATACAACTTCATTAAGTTTCTGCGACTGTCCCTATTTAAATCTTTGATGGTATATTATGTAGAGACCATTTAGAACATGGATAATTGCAATGACCTGTGGTATTAAGTAAAATCTATGAAAGTAGCTGTTAGGAGGAACTACAGCTATGGACATTTGGCTTCTACTGAAGTAAATTAAGTTTCTAACCCCACAATCTATTTCAGGGAGACCTTACTTATATTGAGGATTTATGGTGTGAATTTTTTTTAACTTTAATTATGTTAAATAAAATCATGTCCTGTGTTTTCAGGTTCGCCGTGTCTCCTTTGCAGATCCAATATACCAAGCAGGATTGGCAGATGACATTGATAGGCGCTGCTCTATCGTTAGGTCCCATTGTTCAAATAATTCTCCTATAGTAAAAAGTATTAAAACTTCACCTACTGCACAATGTAAGGTAAGCTGTAACCTTTGAAATATGCATAAATGTATGCAGGCATAGAATTGAGGAAGTATAGTTTGTCTTAAAATTAATAAAGAACAAAACTTCTTTTGTTTGGATGTATTGTTTTGTCCATGACATGGTAAACAAACATGAAGAATGGGAAGAGACAGTAATAATCCAGCAAGTAATTGATTAGGTAATAGTTGATTACATTTTACATTTTTTCAAAATTTTAAGAAATTACTACAGTCTAAGTAATGAAAGTAAAATTGTAAAATTAGAGTTTTCTAGGGTTCTGAGTTTTTTTTTTCTCTTTCTTCTGCCTAGCATAATGCCACCTCAACCAAAGGATTTCTGTCCCCAGGATCACGTAGCCCTAAATTTAAGAGCTCAAAGAAGTGTTTAGTAAGAAGTGCTTTAGTTTTCATGCAACTTTATATTTTCATGTTCAGTCAGGTGATGTCTGTTTAACGGCATTTGAAATTTATTCTAAGATTACAGAAATGGCTAAAGAACCTGTCCCATATCCAACAGAAAGTGTTTACCCAGCTTTGGTGAACTGTGTGGCTCCAGTTGATATCATTTTACCTCAGATTACATCAAATATATGGTAAGGAGTTAATTATACTGGTTTATACTTCAAGATGCCACTTGTTTAAGAGGAATATTTAAATGATTGAGGTTCTCTTATTTAGAATTGGTTTACATGCACTTTTCACACATTTTATTTTTTAAAAAATCTGGGAAGATGAGGCAGGTACGACAATAAGAGAAACATCTCTCATAATTTAGTATTGGCTAAGATAATTGTGGTCAATATTTGCCAGGTGCTGTGCTGAACTCTTTGCTTATATTCTTATTTTATCCTAACTATAAATCCCATAAGGAGTATAATTATTATTTTCACTTTAGAAATAGATGAATTTACAAAAGTTAATCCACCAAAGTCATGTAGCCATTAAGCCATAATGTAGGTGAAATCTGCAGCACACATTGGGCTTAGTCTCTTTCCAGTGCTATAGCTTAAGCCAGGCAAACACATCAAATTCAATTTTGGGTTTAAATTAAATGTACATTTGGCCATTCTCAGAGTAGGCTAAGTGTACCTGTATAAATTCATGTATAAATCATGGAAATTCAGCCAGATAGGCCATCACAAGTAGAATAACTATAGAGGTGCCTGGGTGTCTCGTTTGGTTAAGTGTCTGACTTCGGCTCAGGTCATGATCTTGAGGTTCTGGGGTTTGAGTCCCATGTCAGGCTCTGTGCTGACAGCTCAGAGCCTGGAGCCTGCTTCAGATTGTGGGTGTGGGTGGGTGTGGGTGGGTGTGCATGTGCGCACACGCGCACCCTTTTTCCACAAACGTTGGGGCACCTGGATGGCTCAGTTCATTAAGATCCAACATCAGCTCAGGTCACGATCTCATGGTTTGTGAGGTCAAGCCTCACACTGGGCTCCATGCTAACAAAGTATAGCCTGCTTGGGATTCTCTCTATCTCCCTCTGTCTCTGCCCCTTCCCCCACTCGTGCTCTTTCAAGTAAGTAAGTTTTAAAAAAATAAGGAAACATTAAAACAAGTAGAATAACTGTAAAACTATATGATGACATATTTCTCCTTTTTCTCTTACCTTTTCAGGGCAAGAGGACTGGGACAGCTCATTAGAGCTAAGAATATAAAAACAATTGGTGATTTGAGTACTCTTACAGCGTCTGAAATAAAAACTCTTCCTATCCGTTCTCCAAAAGTGTCCAATGTAAAAAAGGCTCTCAGAGTTTATCATGAGCAACAGGTAAACTTTGATGTTAATAAATCATATGTAAATGATCTAGCAGTACAGTTACAGAAGTAATTGCTTAAAAACTCATTTTATGCCACCTTATCCATCTTCCTCCCCCCCCCGCCCCCCCGTAAGAGTAACTAAAAAAATCACTTTATAATTTTACAGACAAGTTGGCTTCTTGAGTTTATATACCATTTTTGGTAATGCATCTCTTTGTTCTTTGAGTTCTACCCCCTTGTCTCATTCATTTCCACCAAATTGGTGATTGGTTCCACGGCTGCTATTCCTAAAACCTGGATATTCAAATCTAAACATTATAAAAGAAATCTTGCAAATTTGTAGTCAACAGTACTTTGGTTTTCATATCCAAGACAACTGTGACTAATTTTCTTGTTCTTATCAACTTTTTGCACATATTTTGGGTCATAGACATTTTTCAAGATTCTCCCCTCCCCCCATAAAAATATATGCAGAAGATTCTGTATGTTATTTCAGAAGGATTTAGATTGTACAGAAACCTGCTCAGACCCTTTATGTGTCCATTGAGATTATGCAAAATTGTGAATAAATGGGGGGAAATAAACAGTATGTTAAGGTTGAAAAAACAGTGTTTGTATTAGAATTTCTTAGACTGGATCTTACTACTGAAGACTTCTGTTTTCTTAAAAGTCTTTGATAGATTATTTATTTGTGATCTTTAAAAACCCTTTAAAAAAAAAAAAAAAACCAAAGACTGTATTAGTAAGTGGTCTGTGGGCCCTGGGAATTTTCTCTGAAAATTACATTTTTAAAAAGCTGTTTTATTGAAGTACTTTCATATACTATAAAACTTGACCATCTAGAGCACACAGTTAAGTGATTTTTAGTATATTCACAAAGTTACACAGCTGTTGCCATGATCTAATTTTAGAACTTTTATTATCACTCCAGAATGAAATCCTGTATAGCCCATTAGCAGTCACTCCTCATTCCCATCCAACTCTGCAGCCACTAATTTTTTTTCCTATAGGCTTGCCTGTTGTGGACATTTCACAAAAGTGGGTTCATGTAACCCGTGGTCTTTTGTGACTGGCTTCCTTGCGTGTAATGTTTTCTGTGTTCGTATGTATCAGTACTTCATTCTTCTTTATGGCTAAATAATGTCTTGTATGAATATGTAAAATATACAAAGGCTATATGTTATTTAAAGCTTGGAAATCTCTACCTTAGGTTTTCTTTTCCCATGCTTCTCTTAAATTTTGGAAATATAATGTAATTTTCTTGGCTATCATGGATTTCTCTTAAGTCCTTTAGAAAATATTATGAATTCCTAACCAACTCTGAGAAAACACTTTGTAATCCTGTTTTTTGTGTCGTTAGTAGAACATAGTTTCTTAGCAGAATTAACTAAGTTAATAGTCATGTGATGGTCTGGGAAGTATATTAGGTCAGATTCTTTTCCAGAGTTAGTGTTTTTTAGTTCTTTTAAAAACAACTTTCCAATTTGTTGGTTTTGTTTTTGTTTTTACTGTACTGAATGTATAATCAAGGTAAAGTCTCGTGGACTAGAAGAGATGCCAGTTTTTGATCTTTCTGAAAAAACAGTAAATGGAATACAAACCAAATCTCTCCCTTCTGATGAAGAAAGACTTGCCTCAGGTATGTTTTAGATAAGTGGGACAATTTTATTTATAGGATCAGCTAACGTGAAGAAATAGTGTTATGGTTCTAATTTAAACTTGACCATGCTCTGTTAATTTGACCAGTTTCGAGGGCGGGGGGGTGGGGGGGGTTGTGGTAGTGGCCAAGTGCATGAGAAAGTATCTGATTTGACTTCAAGTATGCCTAGTTGTTTTTATCTAATTGTTACCTGCTTCTCCATCAAGGTCTTGAATAGAGATAAAAACTAAACATTGTGTTCCAGTTATGCTGTTAATAAAATGAAATAACCTCATCATTTCTTTAATTGCACAGAACTATTAGTCTGTAATGGTACATATCTATCTAATGGTAGATATTTCTGTTGGCCTTTTCCTCTTCAGCAGGGATACAACCTGCACTCTCAACTTAAATCCTAGGCACTTAAACTTTTTATTAATGTTAAAGGAGATATATACAACTTAGTTTTTATCTAGAATAGATTTAATTGTGCTTTTTTTCTTTTTCTTTTTAGATTTAATTGATCCTGTTGCTTTAGAAACTCCATTACCTAAAAATCTTGTGGCACAGATTAGTGCACTTGCTATTCAGCTGGATTCAGAAGATCTCCATAATTATTCAGGAAGCCAGCTCTTTGAAATGCATGAGAAACTTGGTAGCATGGCAAACTCAATAATAAAAAATTTGCAGTCACGTTGGAGGTCACCAGCCCATGAAAATTCCATTTAGTATCTTATGAGGAAATTGAAGGTTTTTTTGTTTTATTTTTAACATCACTGGATATTTTTGATTCATAAAATAAGTTCTGAAACATAGCACAATTTCAGTCTGAATGTTTGCAAAGTTGATAATATTTCAGACCCTTTATGAAGGGCTGTGACTTATTATATAAGTTCAGTTTGTAAGTTCATATGTAAAATTTTTGTTCATACAACATTTTCTTGGCTGCTATGCATAGTTTTTCCAAAAAATTTAAATACCTTACTGAAACATGAAAGCAAAACCTAGAAGCGAAAGCATTATATTTCACACATCTTAAACTCCTGAATATTCTGGTGAAATATTCTTGTAAAATACGTTATTCTAAGTAAAATTGAACATTTTTATTTGAATTTTTTGCTGAACTGATAAAAGGTGTTTATACTTTATTTTTCTTTTTAATTTATATTTGTTGTGCCTGAGGTTTAAGAAATTTGTTCTCTGTAGAACACCTCAAAGGAGATGCAGAAGAGTTGGAATGTTTTTTCGCAAATGTCAATTTTGGACAAATTTCAAAAAGAAACACCAAAAGTTTTAACTTTTGGGGTTAAAATGTTAAATCCAAATTAACTAAAATTCCATTCATTTGCATTAGCAAATATTTGTGCAACAGCATTTGTGAAAATGTAGTCATATAAGACATACCCCATTCATTTTAAAATGCACGACTTTGTACATTATGTATAGATTATTAAAATGTTTTTAATTTATAAATTTCAGCCTTTGTTAATGGCATGAATCTTTCTGCAGCTACTTGTGAATACCTTTGTTTAATAGAAACCTATTTTGTATATATTAAATGCTGAGATATCAGCATGGACAGTTAGAAGTGCTTTGTGGGCTTGCTGCAGATGTTTGTAGGATTCTGTATCTACAAATACAAATAGTTTTGTACTAAGTAGTCTTAGTAAAAACATGACTTTATTTTCTAAAGGAACCAAAATGAGTTAAAGTTATAGAAATGAGAAAGTGTTCCATAAGAACTTTGCTGTTCATACCCGTATTATTATTATTATTATTGTGTATGTTTGTTTGGATGGAGGGTATCCACCACTAGAAAATGTGCTTCATTACATTTTTTTTTTTTAATGGAGAGTTAGTATGACTATTTTTGTTACAACTTGGACTATAAGAAATCTAGAATTTATCTGCTCTTTTCACCTACACCTAAAGCAAACTTGGAAGAAATTTGAAACTGTTACTTTGAAATATGTATGTTTTGCCTAGTTTAAAAGAAAGGGTGTATATAATTAAAACATTTGTAAATTTTACCAACTAGTATTAGTTCCTGACTTCCCATATTTGTTTCATCTCTTCACAGTGAGAATATCTCATTTGCTCTCTGAATAGAATGAGTGAGTGACCTCAGTTTCATACTTTATTCAGAGCTTAATCAGATTGAAAAGGCACACGTTATTCATTAGGTTACAGAAAGTTAATCCTTGTGTTTAGTTCTTACAATACTCAGAAGGGGACCACCAGTCAGCCAGAAAAGTTGGTGTCAATTTCATAATTATAAAGTAGTGGTTTATATCGTCTCTCTTTCCCCAGATTCTTTTTTATAGTAAAGAGACACATAAGTTTTTTTAGTTAACAGATGTGAGTAAGAAGGGCTGTGTAGTATTTGTTTGTTTGGAGAGTTAAAATTGGCTTATTTCATACTGTATCTTAATGTTTGCGTGAACTGGCTGGTGAAATGAAGTTCCAGGGAACAAGAACAATATAGCAGAAAATGTGACTAAAATAATTATCATTTACTTAAATCACTGAATTTGATACAAGCACAGCTATTAATTTTCAAATGTTTAGTTGCACAAGGATGTGTTTTAAAATGTTATTTGAAGGCAGAAACCAGTTTGCTAAATCTTCATTGCTGATAAAGTTGTAAGTGTATATTTGAGGCACGTTAATTTTAATAATCTTGCCTTAAATTTTTCAATTTTTCAGTGGATTTCCCCCAAATGATTCCTGAATAGCAAAAGGTATTAATATTCCTTGATCAGTTTCAGTGTGTTGTTTCACTATTAAAATGACATCAGTTTTCCAAATATTTTCTAAGGGTTAATAAAACAAATGGCAAATATTAATAAGAGCACCTAAATGTGATTTCTTATTTTATGCATTTATAAAAAGAATCTGATTGCTTACAGAAGCTTAGTACAATTTCTCATGTTCCAAATGGACTTCATGAAGTGGATTTAAATTTTCAGCATTACAATGAGCCCATTCTCAAAATGCTGTGATATTTGAATAAGTTTTAAAGCCATTGTTTAGTGGTACGGAGCTCTTGTTCTAATTCCATACTGTCTAGAATGAATTGGGTTTAATAAATATTGTTATTGGAAAACATAGTCAAAAATAGGATTTAAATCTGAACATTAAAAGCCTGATAGTTCCTGACATTGCCCAGGGATTCTATTCTTTATAGCCTGAAAGTAGTCAGGGATTCTGTTATGTATTTAAGAATCATAAACATGTCAAGCAATATGGATTATATTTTCCCTAAAATCAAAGTGGCAGAGCAAGAAACAAAATTAGGGGAAAATGGGAGGGTTGTGTTGTGTGTAAGATTTACAATTAAAATTTTTTAAATCTTTTAAATTAAAACCTTTTTAATTAAAATAATTAAAAATAATTGAGTGCCATTTAAAATCCCTTTCTTGGAATTTAACAGAAAGTGTGAGTTAAAAGGGGTCACATTTTCCCTTAATGTCATTCTTTCCAGCATGACTTTGCAACCCAGTAAGAAGGGCCTAGTTTCCATCTTATATTCTTTGTTACTGATTTTCAGGGAGATAATTTACAGCTAGGCTAGGAGGCAATAAAATAGCAGCTGTTGACAGTATTAAGATTTGGTGGAGGGGAGAGAGCTGTTTTACCCAATAGCATAATCCATGTCTTTTACTCCTAAGCTATCAGAATGATTTTGTACATTGTATACAAACATTAATGTTTTGACTTTTAACAATGCTTCTCAAACTTGGCGTGTATGTATGAAAATGCAGATTCTGATTCACCAGGTCTGGGCATGGAGCCTGATAGTTCATCACCAAAAACTCCCACATGATCCCTACAATTGCTAATGTCTGCGGGTAGGCATAAGATGCTTCAGGCTGCAAATCAGCTTCAGGCTGCAAATTAGGTGATGATAACCCAAGCAGGTTTAAGTCCTAGGAATTGTTGCTACAAAAGATAAAGATTAGTATTTTTTAAAATAATTTTTTCAAATGTACGTTTTGGGATACAGACTGGTCTTGAAGCCTTCAAATTAAAGTTCAAAGTTTTTTCAAGAGTTAAAGGTAGAACTTTGCTTCATTTGGAGCCTTTTTAAATATTGAAGATTTATGTTTTTAAATAGTTACACATTTCATGTTATAAAGAACCTTACTAAGAAGATTAGATGATAAGAGCCTTTTTTCATGAGTAGTATGTATGGATTATGTTCTCATTTTTCTAATATAAAAGTAAATTTTCAAATACTAGGTATATATATAGTCTCTAAATAAATCTTGCCTTCTAAGTTATGGGGCTTCATATTTTACTAATAACATTGAAAACAGACTACCCCTAATTAAGATTAACTTGGCATTAATATTAGCAGTACCAAAATAAGTCCTAAAAGATGTGACTTGTCACTTTACTAAAGACCTCTGGTTACTTTGCCATTGTTGAAAATGTGTTTCATCTTAAAATGGTGTTTGAAAAAAAGTCAAATTTTTCCTGAAAACTGAGTTTTTCTGGGCATTCTGTTATGTTGTATTATCCTAATACATTTTAAATGCTTTTTGTATGAATTGCACTCCTTCAGAGCACTTAAGAAAACGTAGCCAGAAGTTAAGTAATGGGTTTTTTAAATTGATTCATCAAAATTTGTTTTGTTTTTTGTTTTGTTTTTAATCTGTTCAACAAATCTGGGCTTTAGTTTGTGATGGTTCAGTTAATATGTCTATTATATGCCAGCTTTGTATATTGCTTTTTGAAAGTATCTATTAAAATCTGAATCATTAGGATTTGAAGATCCTTAGATATTTAAGAGAGTTGAGTGTTCACTCAGTTCTTAGAATAGAATGTTAAGTTTTATAGCATGGTCTTAACCATTTTTTTCTTTAAATACCAAACCAAAGAACAATAAAAAACAAACATGAAGTGCCGAGCTGTAAATGCTTACTCTCTTGAAGTATACCATTAGAAGAAAAGATAATCTCTCCCTTTAACTGAGAGTATAAGATTGAAGGTAATATTTTAAATTGATACCACATGGAATAAAAGAAAGTATGTAGCCTTTTAGTATAGGGACAGTCATATACTTTGAAAATAGCTAGCAGTTGTCCTATATATAACACATTACCAGAACTGGTATTAATAAATACCCTGAATAATTATTTAAAATCTATATTATTTTTGGGTCACTTGTCTGGCTCTGTCACTGGTAGACATGTAACTCTTGAGCTCGGGTTGTGGGTTCAACCCCCATGTTGGGCTTAAAAATAACTTAAAAATAAAATCTTAAAAAACATATGTATATTATCTAATAATATCCCTGCCCCAAAGCAGTAAATAAAATAACTCCCAAAAGTAGGCAGAATTATTTCTTAAAAGAATAAATTGGATATAAGTAGGAAGTCCACTTTCAAAATAAAGTCATGGAATATAGTGTAATAGCTGTTTTGATAATTAATTCGATGTCTAAAGAAATTTTTACTTTTGTAGAATGGGAATTTTCTAAAAGGATGAAATTTAAGAACAGAATGAATTTTGAGTATAGAAACTGAAAGATGGCAGTCTTAACCTAGTAAATTTTTATGAACAGATCGAAAAACTACAGCCTGCCACCTGTGTTTTATACTTCCTGAAAGGTAGGAATAGTTTTTACATTTTCTAAAAGGTTGAAAAAAATAAAAAGTAATATTTTGTGACACCTGAAGGATGTAATTAAAATTTCATTGCCAGTAATAAGGTTTTATTTGGACACAGCCATGCTTATTTACATACTATCTTTGGCTGCCTTCCTGCTGTCAGTAATGTGACAGATTATATGGCTGTTAACACCTAACATTCACATATTTGGCCCTTTTGCATAAAGTTTACTAATCCCTGATAAAAAGGGTAATTTTGTTCATACATTGCATGTAAGTCCACTTGGTCATTTGCTTCTAAATGGCAAACTGGGGATCTTGCTTCTTTAAATCCTTAATTTGTTGTTGCTTAGATTTTACAAAAATGTGTTCCCCTGATTCCATTTATATGTTAACGATACTGCTCAAATATACATCTACTAGGAGATATTGGTGCTTGGTATACTTTTTTCCTCCTATTTAAACTCAAATTACAGTTCTGTGTTTCCCATGGATGTTGAGGGACGTTGATGTGTGAGGGAAAGTCATCTGGCACTCAGTGGTTCTGTCATACCTGTGAAATAAAGTGGGAGGTTAGGGAGTTTGCTTTCTGTGTTGGTGAGGAATCGATTGCTTTCAGTCTATCTTAACACTACCTCCTATGGCTAGACTTAACTAAATGCACTTAGACTGAGAGAAGCTGAATCAGTCGTCTATTAGCCTATGATAATTTTTGTTCCCACCACTTGATAAATTCTAAGATAGCTTAGTTTTACATTCAAAATATTTATATTTGATAACTCAAATGATTTAAGTTGAAATTTCACAGAAGTACCTGTTGATTACTCAACTGCACTAGTATTGGAGGAAATAGGATGTGGTCAGTATTATTTGTGTAATGTTTTATACAGAGTTAGAAGCAGGCAGACTAATATGAAAGTGTATTTTCAGGTTCATTATGATTGGATTCAAGGAGGGAGAATCTGTCTTACCTACGGTAAAACTTTTCATGATCTTTTGAGTTAACTGTTATCACTTACCAATTGAAACTGGATATTGCAAGATTTTTAAAGAAATGCACTTTAATCTGAAATAAAACTATAAAAACTAAGCAATTCTGGCACTGTTTTTGTTTGGTTTTTGCTTTGAAATTCGTTAAGATTAGCATAATCCACATACTAACAAAGTGAACACTGTCCCTTCAGAAACACATGAGCTATTCATATTTTATGGCCTGTTTTAGCCTTAGAAAAGGTCTCTCTCTGGTAGTCCTAGTTTTATAGGTTTCACATTTCTAGATCCATTTATCTGCATTAAAAGTGAATAAACTTAATGTTAAAAATACTGTATTAGTTTACTATGGCTGCTATAACAAAGAGCCACAAACTGAGTGGCCTACACAACAGAAATTTATTGTCCTACAATTCTGGAGGATG